TATTTTATCACTAAACAATGTTTGATTATTTTTTATTACTGTTCTTTTCAGTTATTATTTATTCCATGGTAATGAGTCCATTTCATTTTTTCTTGATCACATGTTCCGCAACAAAGTGCGGATGATTTCTAGCTTTTATATAGATAGTAATAATTTATTAAGACAGACATTTCGATGTAATTTTTTTTCAATTTCGACATATATATTTTTGTTATTAAACATGATTTTTTCAATGCACATTATAAAAAAAATTTCAATTTTTAGTAAATAAATTCTTATGGCATGAAAATCTTCTTCTAAAAAAATAAAAATTGGTTTCCCTCAATTTCTACTCTTAAAATAGGGAGAAAATATGTAAAAAGATTTATAAATGAGCTTTAATGATTTTTTAAATTTTCTCAAACACTATTGCAAAACATTTTCATTAATGACGTTGTTACAATTTCCTAACTTTCATTAATTAGTGTTATTGCAATTTTCATTGTGGGGCTCTTTTCAAAGTGATGTTGGACCAATCGTGTTTGGCCCAATCGCTCCCTGCGACGACCCAACTCATGAGAAAAAAGAGTCCAATCGCTCCCCTAATAGGACTATTTGTGCCAAATTTATCTTCAAATCTCCTAAATTTGACATTTTGGTACTTTGACAGTTGACATTGGAGAGGTACAGTAATCAAGGGTTGCTCACCCATGAGTAGCTAAATATGGGCACTTAGTTTTGAGTGGATCCACAAAATCAAGATCAAAGGATTGGAAATTAATTTTTTTTGTTTTCCCTACTTTTATTAATCGGCTTTTATCTTCTTCGCTAACTTGGATTTTAATTTTTTTGTACCGATGAAATGACTTCGTTATGCTCTACAAAATGAGATTCATTTTCAATATTTTTTTTGAGAAAAAAGAGTTCATACCTCTCGTTACCAACTTCATACCATATGATATCTTGTTCGTTTTTAAAAATATTTGCACCAAAAGACCGAGGTCATCAGTATCTATTGGATTTACAAATTTATGGGTGAAAAATATAGGGCTTAAAAATACCACCCTGGTATGGGGGTGGTATCTTGTGGTACACAATATTGAACCATCTTATAGTTTGGTATGTTCATACCACCATGTTACGCTTTCATACCATATGGTATGCTCTTATTTAATACCAATCATTACCACCATGGTATAGACTAGTAAAAAATGCCTCATTTTTTTCAAAAAATATCAAATTGGATATAATTTTGAAGAGTAGAATTAATATGATTTATCCGTGCGAAAAAGTTAAAGTACGACTTAAAACGAGAGAGAAATCTTCCGTTAAAATTTAAAGAAAAAAATTTAGTCTTTCCATAAGTGAGAGGGGTGCTACTGTGTTAGATTCTAGTTGGATTATGCATGATTACTCACCACAAGGTTACAGACCTGATCCGTTTCCTATTAGAAATAGTGTAAGTATGGTTGTCATTTTGATATCCTATCGGTAGATTTAAACAAGTACAACTGGTATCGTTCCCAATTGAATGGAAATGGTGCAAGTATGGTTTTCATTTTTGGTCAAATTCTATCAAAACCTTGAAACCCGACCACACCACAAACTAGATTTTATCACTTTCACACATGTCCTCCAAAAAATAATCATCAACCATGAGATTTAAATAAATTACCTCATGTTCACTAATGTCAATTTTACAACAATAGGAGATAAGAAACTTTGTGATACATACAAATCTTAAATATTATATAACTAATGTTATATCTTACATAAATCATAAACATTAATAAAATTTATTTTATATATTTTGGTTTTGCGTATATAATAGTTTACGAAAGCGGATAGTAAAAAAACTCATATCCTACAAAATCCGTGTCTAGATTTGCCTCATCTAATCGCCAAAAAAGCACAGTGTTAACTGATAAGGAATGAAGTCAAAATAACAGCTTGGTAATTTTACCTTTTTTTTGTTTGGTTGCTGAAGGTTTTTCTTGTCATTGTCATGGATCTCAGAGGAGAGAGGGTAGCCTTTTTTTTATTAGTTTGTCACATCTCATTCATTTTAATTCAAAATTTAAAAATGTATGCATAGAAAACATGCATGAATCAAGATGTACACAATAATATCTATTTTTTATATTTTGATAAAAAATAGTCAATTAAAACACGTGGTAGTTAGAGTATTATCACTATCATCTTTTTCAATATCATGATCTTATCACTATGATAAGACAAAATGAACATCATAACACTATCATATCATGACAATCATATGATGTCATCAAATTATTTTGTCAAACATAATACCACATATCAACCATGGGCGGACCTACTAAGGGGTAGGGTGTGTTGTCCGACACACTCTCACCAGGAAATTTTGTGAATGACCTATATATTTTTTGTATAAAATTTTTTAATTTGAGACTTCCGACACACCTAAAATAATTGTGAGCTACACTCCTTCATTATACGAGAATGATTTTCTTGTTATAAAGTTATTTATCTTAATTAGTAATTAAAAATAATAAGTAAAATCAAATAAATATGTTTGTTTTAAAGTAACCCACACCACAACCCAACAATGAAAAAATATACATAAACCCATCCTTTAAAACTCACCATTTCTACCCCTTGACCCTTCCTTTATTGAAAATAAAAAATGAAATAAAAAACTCACCCTTACCTCTTTTTAGTTTCTAATTACCGAGACCACCGTCACATCTCCTTTTCTTTTATATATCCTTTAGTTTACTTGCTTTTGAAGATGGTTTGACTTTACTTATTGCAATTGCAAGCTGCGATAGAGCATTTTCAGCTATGAAGATATTCAAGAATGAACTTCACAATCGGTTGAGTGACCAATTTATAAATAATTGTTTAATTGTGTATATCGAAAAGGATTTGCTTCGCAATATAAGCGATGAATGTATTTTACAGACATTTCAGGACATGAAAAGTCATCGTGGTTCGTTGTAAACATGACACTGTGAACTTTATAAATTAATTTATATTTAATTTAATTAATTTTTAATTAAAATTTTTAATTATTATCTTATTTCATCGGCGACACACCTCTCTGACAATTATGGGTCCCCACAGATATCAACGTTACATCATTACAATATTATATGATATTATCATTACACCATAGTGAAAATCTTATTGGCAAAGGCTAGCGTACGCCCGTTGAGTTTTGTTATTTAGACAATTATTTACCGGAGTTAGGGGCATGATATTATACCCTAACGCCTAACGCATGAACCCTAGCTCCCAATTCACTAACCCAAAGCATAATATTCAATTAATCTTGAAATGAAAATTAACGATTCCGATTCGACAAAATTATCGTTGATTTTCATTTTAAGATTTAATGAATCTCATTGTTTGAGTTAGATAATTAGGGGCGTGAGTTCAACCGTTAGAGGTTAGGGTATAATATCATACCCCAAACTCTAGCTAATTCAGGATCTAAATAGCAAAATGCGACGCGCGTACGCTAGCTTGAACCAATATCATTTTATGATAGTGATATGATGTCATTGAATTATTTTGTCAAACGTAAGACATCATACGAACATCATATCACTATCGTACCAATATCATACATACTTCATATCAATATCATACTACTATGATATCATATAACTGTCAATGGTATTATCGTGATATGACTTTAATATGATGATTGTTTTTGTTCAAAATATATATCATCTTATCGAGCACACAAAATATGATATTTCTACAAAAGTATTTAGAAATCCGATTTAAGACAAATGAGCTATGGTCCGTTAAAATTTTTAACAAGATTTGAAAAGTGCTTTGACAACATACATGAAAATCCGCGCGCTGTGCTACCGCCCCAAAAATTCGGTAAGCTCCCCCATCTCTTGTTTTCCTCATTTCCCCCTTATGATATGGACTATTAGATATCTCATCCTCAAATTACTACCATTAGATTAGGTTTCGCAGTATTACAAATACGAATGGTTTTGTATTGGAACTTGTTTACTATTAATTACCAATTTCAAACTATAAATTATTTTAATGCTTTTTCCTAACTAATTTATTTGGTGTTTATAATTTTTCACTTTTCCTTATGTATTATATTAAAACCGGTATAATCGGCATAAACCGGTATAATACCAGCCATACAATTCTACTTGCTTCATTGGTTTAAACCGTTTTGACTACTTTTCGTCTAAGGCACAAATGTAAATATCCGTAAATGGTCCTACACATATAGCTAATCTATGACCCTTGAAATGGGTACTCAGTGACAGTGATTCTTTTGATCAACGGTAGGGGTGGAAGTTAACTACCGGTATTTGAGATATAACGAATAACTTATCGAATTTATCACTATTTGTTATTATCGATTATCAATTTATATTTTAGGGATTCAGATTGAGATTTACTATGGAGTGCTATTTAGTATTCGGAATTGTGAGATTGAGATCGGTATACACCGAAATACCGAGAAACAACAAAATTTGGAAATTAATGAAAAATATAGCACACAACCTTTAGTCATTCATCACTATTTCCCAACTCATAACTCATAAGCCTCATCCAACCCAATTTTGGCTTTCTAGTTTAAGTTACTCTCGTCTCTCGCCTAACATTTTGTTATTTTCATAACACCAAAAAGCGAACAATAGTATAAGTCGTCTCTCAGTCTCCAATCCGCTAAATTAAAGATTACCAATGACAAGAACTTGAGATTTCACCTCTCCTCCCTTCTACTATCCATATCCTAGATCTAGCCAAATTCAAGACTCTTTGTTCTAAATTATCCATCCAAATATAATTTACATATTTAGTTATTAATTGCAAAGATAATTAATTTTGTATCCGATAATATAGATTGATATACCAAAATATTTAAGGACTGGGGTACCGAAATTATTTAAGGATAGAAATTGAAATTGAGATTAACTTTAGAGTATAATTTAGTATTGGAGATATACTCATATAAGTATTTGGTATTGTGATACGGATACTCTACTCATTTCCACCATAATTAACGGTAGAGATGTTATGTCTTGACTTCGAAGTTCGAACTTTGCAGTCTTCCTCGACCTTCCCAATTTGCATATGCAGTTCAGTTCTACCGTCCGGTCTCTTGCCATCTGCAGTTCAGTTCTGTTCCACTGATAAGACCCAGCCATCTGATTCCCGCGAAATTGTTGGGCCGACCTATTCTTTCGAGTTTCTTCTGAGGGGGTCATCGATTCGAATCGGGATTGACTGCATTTAATCCTCGTTCTTTTTTCTTCTGGTTGCTCCTTCCAAATGCGGAAGAGCGATTCCTTCAAGTACCCGGCTCAGGGAACCGAGTCAGGGCATACACGGAGTGCTGATTTGGGGTTCGGCGGCAGCGATCGGAGGTACGCTTACTCCCGCCAATCTTCGTTTCGCCAACCGCAGGATCTCCCCGGTAGTCCGATTTCATTCCTGCCCAATGACGCGGGCAAGCCTTTTCTCTCCCGCACCTCCTCCAGCATCGATATGCCGCCGGAGATTTATAATTACTCTTTCAGTTACCTAAAGGATGGTGTTTTTGGCGATTCCAATGACTCGGCTGCCGGCGGGAGGAATGAGAAATTGTCGGTGTTTTCCGTGTTTAGGGCATTAAGGTATGGGAACCGGCAAATGAAGAGGCTTTTCCTAATGATTTTCCTCAATGTTGCGTATTCTACGACCGAGTTAGGGATTGGGCTAATTACTGGGCGTGTGGGTAAGAAATTCAGCTACTTTCTGGAAATTTAGAGCTCCTAGTACTATGTATCTGGGGATAGTAATTGGTTTGTTTCCTTTTTGTTCATTTTTCAGGTTTGGTATCTGATGCATTTCATTTGACTTTCGGGTGTGGTCTTCTTACATTCTCCTTGTTTGCAATGGCTGCTTCTCGGAAAAAGTCTGATCATGTTTACACTTACGGGTGAGTTTATAGCTTGCAATTCACTGTATGGAACTAACTTCGGTTGATTCTCAGACTACAACGAAGTTATATTTGTTTCAATGTATTGTCTTGATCTGGATAAAGATGTCGTATTCTCTAAAGCATATATTAACTGGCAATCGTTCTTGGCAGGTACAAAAGGCTTGAGGTGTTATCCGCTTTTACTAATGCTGTAAGTATCCGACATTTCCTTTACGTTGTGGAATTGGATTTAGTCGAACGTAGGATAGTGTAAAGGAATAGGTTTTTCCTGAATCCTCTGAGTTTCCGATATCATTTTCATTGGCTAGTTTTGTATGTTCATGCTGTACAACTAGTAACTGTTTGGCCTGTCAAGGGTCTGATTTATTTGAGAGGAATCGAGTGTGGTCCTAACTTTTATGTTACCGCAAGTTATGTTTCTACTTACAGCCTCTTTCCCAAAAATTGAGTAAAGAGTGAGCAGAAAGGAAACCCCGGAGAGGAAAGGCTACTTATTCAATTGATTGAGGTCTTGGAGGGGCCATAAGGATAGTATATCTATCATCCAATAGTCCCAAAATATAGCCTTTTTACTGAGAATTTTCAGTCTTGTGCCCTTTATTGACCTCTAATTCAAGGGGAGATGAAGCTTCCTTCTTTCTCAAATTCTACATTTATTGTGCAGAAATTTATGCGTTGGCATGAAGTGGAAAATCATCTGAATTTATCTGCTTCATCTGCATTGTGTTGTTGCTATTAGTATTTTCACTTTGCTTGTGAAAAGTTTATTTATTTATTTTATTTCATAGCATACTTCAATCCGTTGCTCTAACATATAAGTATTATTGATTCTGCTGCTTGTGTAGACAGCTGTTTCTGCTGTTCATGTCATTCTCCTTAGCAGTGGAAGCTCTTCATGCATTCGTACAAGATGAATCTGAGCACAAGTGAGTAATTTGTGCCGACTTTGGAGTAGTTCATTGGTGCATAGTTGCGTTATTAATGCATGCAGATATCACTGCTAATTATATGATGCAGGAAAATATTATTTTGTGCTTGCCTATAATCTTCTACGACGAGAAATAATGACTAGGAACTTGTCCTGTTTGTACTGCAGGCATTATTTGATTGTCTCTGCTGTCACAAATTTGGCGGTGAATCTTATTGGTGTCTGGTTCTTCAGGAATTATGCCCGTGTAAATATTGGTAAGTGTCATCAGCTGGCCAAAATGAAATTTGACCCAAATGCTGCGCTACTTATGCTAATAGAACATCGCTTTCTCCTGTTCATACTCACTGATGAGGTTATGGTTATCCTCGCTTGTGTGAGCTTAAGAGTAACACTTACCAGTTTCTTTTACTCTTCCGCCTATTCGAAGTTGCTTCTTAACACTTTTTTTTTTCAGTCTACAGAAATGCTGAAGACATGAATTACCATTCAGTATGCTTGCATGTCTTGGCCGACTCCATTCGGAGGTCTGCTCTTTATTCCCAGTTGCTTTGTTTTTGTAGAATTCTTGTGTTGCCATGTTGAGCTAGTGTCTTCTTCTTATTGTGTCTCAGTGCAGGTTTGGTACTGGCATCATGGTTCTTGTCGCTTGGGTAATTAATTTTCTTTCCTTCCATTTGTTACCGTCATTGAGAGTTGTGAAATTTTTCCCTCCCCCATGCTTCTTGGCACCTTCGGTTGTGCTCATCAGTAACCATTTTTCTTGTTATGTATGTTTCAGAGTTAAGAATGCAGAGGTTCTGTGCTTGGGTCTAGTTTCTGTTACCGTGTTTATGCTTGTCATGCCTCTTTTCAAAGCGGCTGGAGGTGTGTTGCTTCAGATGGCACCACCAAGTATTCCATCTTCAGCATTGAGCAAATGCTTGAGACAGGTGAGAACTGTGAGATCTTTCCAGCTAGCTAAACTTTTCTGAGTCCAGTATTCATGACTTCCATATAGTTGGCTTTCATTAGAAAGCTTATTGACATTTCTTATGTGTCTCTACTTCTCTTTGTAGATCACTGCTTGCGAAGATGTTTCCGAGGTATCGGACGCCCGTTTCTGGGAATTGGTTCCTGGCCACACGGTTGGTTCTATCTCATTGCAGGTACATTATTGAAGGCAGTCAAGTTCAATCTGCAATCTCTTATTTTGTTTGGAGCGCTTTACATTACTCTGTGCTTTTGTCTACATCATTTTCCCTAACAACCGAACTCTTACATGTCAATGTATGTTCCTTCTGACACTTGCCACCAGGTGAAGGGAGGAGTGGATGATCGGCAGGTGCTAGAATTTGTACATGGGCTTTACCATGATTTGGGGGTGCTGGATCTCACTGTCCAGACTGAACAGGAATGAATAAGAAGTTTTCAACTTTAGCTGTATGTTTTGGCTTCTCACTTGGTTGCAACTCTTGCCATTTCCATTTACCGGAGGGATGGATAGTCTACAACAGATCCAGCGGATAAGATATCTTTGGAGAGTAGTATTTCGTTGTTTTTGATAGATAGACAAAGATTTTATCAGACTAACAGTAATGTTAAACAAACACAGCTATTTGTCGAGTTATAGTGAGTGATAAAGATGTCGAACTTACTACCCTTGTAGTTCCCTTTTGTTGATCTTCTTCCCCTTTTTTGTTTCAAACTCAAGCTCGCAGAAGAAGCCTATGTAAGAAGTGTCGCTAAATTTTTTCAAGAAACAGAAATGATCAAATTACAGTTGCCAATTATAGGTTGGAATACTTTTCCAGAGGCTAAATTACATATTTTAGACACTAAGTTTGGTCACTGGATTCATAAAACATTCATATTTGGTCACTGGAAATATTGAAATCTATTCGTAGTCGCTAAGTTTACTAAAACATGTTATGTTTTAGGGCTGAGAAACAGGCCGGTTCAGTTTAAACCGGATCGGATTGACCCGGTTTTTTGAAACCGTATTGGAAAATCTCACAACCGAAGACGGGATTGGATTGTTACTCGGTTTTGACCAAACCGAATTGGATTCAATACGGTTTGGTCCGGTTTTGACCCAAAAATTGGGTTTGTTTATTCCCTCCCCCAAAACGCGGACGTTTCAAAGAAAATTGGATAAAAAAAAACTCTTTCTCACCTCCCACTTGGCACACCCAATCCCCAATCCCTATTCTCCTCACAAAACCCCACTCCTTCATCTCTCCCGCCTCTCTCTTCTCATAAAAAAAACTCCCAATTCATATTCTTCTCTATCCCTGCCTCTCCGATTCATCATCCAAGTTCATCCATTCACATTTGATTCTTTCCTCTCCGCTGTGATTTCTCTCCAGGGTTATGATTCTTCATCTTCTCACCTCCTCTCCACTGTGATTTCACTCCAGGGTTGTGGTTTTCAGCGCCGCCCCTACATGCACCTCCACCGCCCACAGATCGGGAACGGTCTCCGCAGTCGCTGTCTCCTCTGTTCCCCCTTCTTCCATGCACAACCACCACCAAAATCTGCTTCTTCCCTCTCGATCTGCGCAATTAGGCTGCCTCGTGGGAGATGGTTCGTGGTCGCCACTGCATCGCCAACGAGAGAGAGCTGATTCCTTCTCTTCTTCTTCTTCTTCTTCTTCTTCTTCTTCTTCTTCTTCTTCTTCTTCTGGGTGGTTCGTTGTGAGAGGGAGAGACGAGTCTTGAACTTGATTGGGGAGGGAGGTTGAGGCAGGGACTGGAGTGGAGATCGAGAGGTGGAGAGGGGGTTGAGGGAGGTGTGGAATTTGGGAGAGATAGAGAGGAAGCTAGCGGCTGCTGACTTAGGTCTTAGGTGGTGGGATGATAGGGTTTGCGCTTCTGAGTGGGTTGGGGATGCAGGGTTTGTGTTTTTGGGCTGGGCTGAGAATTAAGGGGGTTATATATGTTTCGGGCTGGACTTTAGGCTCGGGTTTGGGCTGTGCTAGGTAGGATCCAGTTTTTCGATTTTTTCCGGTTTTAACCAGATTATACCTTGTACGGTTTTTCCCATATATGGACAAACCGTAATCCAGACCAAACCGTTGTATCCGGTTTTCGGTTGCAACCGGGGCAGTTTAAACTGCTCGATTTCCGGTTTGACCGGAAAACTAAAACCGAATTCCCAGCCCTATTATGTTTGGTCACTCTTTGTTAGCCTTCTCTAAAAGCGTCATTTTTTTTTGCTGACGTGGCTAATAGAAACGCATAATCAACAAATTTTAACACAAAAAAAATAAAATTGACCCGTCACGTCATTAAAACCAGCCACGTCAAAAAATCAAACTCAACCACCTGTGACCCGACCCACATTATAAAAAGTCGGGTTCTTTCGTTTTGCAACTGCGGTCGGTCGTTGAAGCTGTCGACGGTCTTCTCGCATTTGCCTTCTTCAGAAGCCAAGGTTTATCCTCCCTTCTCTCTGTGCAAACCCTCAATTTCGTCAAAGAGGAACCGATTGGACCAGACTAACCTCCAGGAGCTAGACTTCACCGCCGACAAGAGTCTATACCCTCATCCTCTGTCATGCAACTAGAACGCCTGAAGCTGATATAGATTTCCAGCTAGTGACACCTAAGGATAGGGCTGAAATTTGCACTGATCCGTCCCTGGCCCTGTCTGACTCGTCCCTGAAGGGTCAAGATGTATAACTGACCCGTCCCGTCCCTGTTTCCTTCTTGATGCTGTCTGACAATCAAGGGTTGGGACGGGTAGGGTAAGCGGGTCGACCCTAATCAACACACTACTTTTTATAAATTACGTTTTGGTACGCAAAACTATTTTTCTTACAATTTAGTGCCTAAAATTTATATTTACAAATAAGTCCATAAATTTGATGGTAAAATTACGTTTTGGTACCCAAATTTTTTATTTTTACAATTTAGTAACTACATTTTTAAAACTTTGCAAAGAGGTCCAATGTGGTATGAGATATTTGTTGTTGCTTAGGGTCACAGGGTCAAAAAGTGACCCGTCCTTAAGTTGTCCCTACCCGTCCCGACCCTTACAGGGTCAACAAATGACCCGTCCATAATTTGACTCTGTAGACAAAATGACCCGTCTCGACCCTCGGGGACAGGAGGGGTCGAGACGGCTTAGTTGGTCCTCCGGGTCAAGCTTACACCCCTATCTAAGGAGGCGGTCACATCCACAACAACTGAGTAAGAGCGGTGGTCCAATCTCCTTTGCCAGGAACCCTTCGTGCATGCCGAAAACACTTTCTTTGATTCGATTCGTGCGTGAATGGACCGACATTGGGTGTAAACGAAGGGGTGGGTCTTGTTGAAGGCCTGCGATGACGAGAGCTACAAAAGGGCGAAGGACAGAGGAATCTGGGGAGGTGGAGTAGAGGAAGGTTGCCACGAGTTTATCGATTTGGTCAAGGTTAGGGTCTTAGATCTCAAATCCAGCTCTAACCGCTGCTCCATAACTCCACCTGCCACCGACCTCTCCGCCTCAATCACCCCTGCTCGACTTCACCCGCCCCTTCTTTGTCGAAAGTGGTATTGGCTCGCCGTAACAAAGGAGCATGCGAAAGTAGATCCACCCACCTCTTCGCATTCTTCCCTTTGCCTTGCATGTTCCCGCTGGTCGCCACCCTGTCTCACTCATCCTTGATAGACGACAGTGATATCCATATCCGCCCTGCCTTCGCCTATCCTCTTTCCTACCTTCTGCATACTCGTCCATAGATTGTTCTGGAATAGAGGAGAGAGAGAGAAGTATAATGGAGAGAGGGATAGGCGGAGAGGAGAGAGAGAATGGGGGCAGTCACCAGCAGAAACAAAATACTAGTCTATTTTAATGTGTATGGTTTAAATTGATTTGGGTTGGGTTATGTTGACCGTCCAATTTCGTTGTATGCATTCTATGCGACAATCAATTAAGACTTATGACCGACGTGGCAATTTAAAAAGTAAATAAATAATAATTTTCCAATTACGTCCACTTCTTCCTTCAAACCTCACTTTAATTAAGACTTCTGAATCTAATCAAACTTCTCACCCGCCGTAGTTTAATCTGATTGAGAATTTTTCGGTTTTCGCGTTGGTGATGGAGGACATGGAATGTGGCTCACATGTAGATAATGTAAGGAGGGACGCCGAGGTTCGCCAACACCGGGAGGGCGTGGGCACTAAGAACATTGCCGACGACAGCAATGAGAAAATCAGCTGAACCCGTGATGCCGTATTCGGAGAGTCTGAGCACCCAAAAGTTTGCGGAGAGGGTAACATGGATTGATCACTTCGATTCGTGCAGATTATTGTCAATGGTTAGCACGCAAGGTTGTCAAACCGGTTTTTGCCAGTGTGCCGGTTTAGCAAGTGGAATGGTTCGACCGGTGGTAGATACCGGTTTGTGCCGGTTCATACTGGTTAATATTACAAATAATCATATTTAAACACGACATTTAACGTAAATACCTAAATATTTGTACTTGAATCCAACAAATAACATCAACATTTAACTTTTTAACACATAAAACAAATAATAAATGACTTTTTATCAATTAAATTCACTAAGATAAGATCATTTTACTTGGAGATTCGTATATCGATCATGCCGATCATACCAGTGGTGTCATGCCAGTTTTATGACCGGTACAGGTTGAACCAGTGGCACACCGGCCGGCGTGACAACCATAGCACGTGTCAACAACTAGTCTATCTTAAGCCAAGTTTAACCTAAGACGACATTGTCGTATAGTGGTAATCAAGGTCATATTTTACTCGGGTCCTGGTACCCTAGTCTACTTCCCACCTAGTTTCTAATTAGTTAATCGGTTTTGGAGGGTTGAGTGGAGGATTTGAGGAGATAACTAGACTAGAGATTGATCAAAGCTAAAAGTAGGTACTTCGGGCAACTAATCCTCCCCCCAGCTTAGGTTTACAAAGCATATATTGATTCTTAGGGTTATAGAATGTAGTGAGATCTCTTTTCCCTGGGATTTCTTGGTTATCCACACGCCTCCGAGTACACCTCCACTAAAACCATATATAGTCACCTCGATCTAGGCTATCGTATCTGGGGCATTAAGATTATGGCTCATTTCAATGGACATTATCCACCATCCACACCGAGGTTTTATCCCAGGTTCTATCTAGGAAGGCTAACCTACGACAGGGGTTTGGTCGCCTCGGCCACACTAGGTCCCTATTAATACATCTATCACAATTTGCTTTATGGTGCATACCCGTCTAACACTAGAACTCCAAACCCAATGTAAAAGCATAAAGTAGGCTAATAGAGAAGATTGGGGCTCCCTACCATAAACATAATACATGATAGAATATCAATAAAATCAATTAGATAAACACATCCATTCATTCAAATCCTTAAATATCCATACTACATAATAAACCCTAAAACTAGGGTTTGGGGTTTATAACCCCTAGCATCTTAGAGGACTACTCCATAAAGGAGGGAAGAAGAAAAATAGAAGAAATTGAAGAAGACTTTGGTTGAGGAAGATGCTCAATCTCTTATAGATCCTTTTACTTCCTTCAACTTCTCTCCCCTCTCTCTCTAAAACCAGAAATTTCTCTCAAAATTAGCTCAACTAAAAGGGGGAAAGGGGTCTCCTATTTATAGAATCCTAAAAACACGAACAAGTTCACGACCAAGGAGCTGAAGTTCGCAGTCATGAACTTGTGAGGCGAGGCCACGATCTCTGGTCAGCACAATTACGCGTTGAAAACTAGGGGTTCACGACCTGACATCTCGGTCGCGATCCTTGATGTCGCGGCCGTGAACTT